GCGATGAATGAAAGTGATATCAAATTAAAGCAATATTAAATCTAAATAATAGTTCACTAAACAGCGTAATAATTCTTGAGAAAACTCAAATTATCAATTAAAATTAATTATTTTTCAATTAGATCAACGTATACATTTGTTATCGTTGTTCATATAATTCTATTCAGAAAACAAATATTGGATACGTGGCTTTATTTTCCCTGAAGCTATCGCACTACCTGTCAATTCGATATTTCTTCGTTCTAAAGCTCTCATTTTGAAACTCACATTATCGTGCCTCTTTCGCGGTGCTTTATAAACTGTGCACATCATTCTAATTATTTCAAAAATAAAATAAAGAAGAAACAGATTAATGCTCAATATAAATTTTATATTTTTAAAATAGACCGAAATTGCGAGAATTACAAAGAACAATAACATTCGAGATAAAAAGTAGCTTATTGCCAGTAAGATTTAACTATTAGTCTATACACTTATTGTTAGAGCTGATAAATAATTATAAGATCAATTATCAAAAGAATCATTATTAATTATTTAAAAAATAACTTAATAAGCTGCTTTTAAGAACAATTTTTATTTCTTGTTAATCTAATAACATCATATAATTTACTATCAATTATTATTCCAATATCACATGTCTATTATACTATTTTTACAAAAAAATATTAAAATATGTATTTCAGTTTTACATTAAAATTATATAAATGTAGGATACTATTCTGTTTTCTGATACTTTATAATTATATTATAAATGTATAAATATTATTATATTTTGAATAATCATGTTTCTTTCAAACACAACATAAAACATAATTTTTATAATCAGAACAAACTAATTTAAGTCAGTTTTATCATTAAAATTTTATTGCAAAATGCTAAAATACCAGTAGATAGCGATAAAACGATATTATTAATCACATTAATTACATTGTTTACCAGAAAACCAATTATTACAAATATTACCTTCATATTCGCAGCAAATAAATCATTTATAAAATCATGTAAAAATTCTCTCGAATGTCTCTGTTTATTTGCAAAAAGCCAACACACACAGATAAATATCACTAAAGCAATTAAAATATAATGCTTGTCATGAGCATCGCGTTATCATAACGCAATAACAGAAGAATCGTGAGATTTTATTACAGTCAATGCTCAGTAAATTCTGTTGCAATTTGTATAGAAATGGAAAAAGAAAGGATAAATTTATATAAATTGTAAAAATTCATTTAAATGAAAAAGAAAATAATAATATTAAAAATATGTAAACATATATATATATATTAATTTTTTTTTACGTAATTGAATGATTATTCTTACTAGAAGAATTCTATCTGATTCCAATTGATGAAATGGAAGGAAACCTATTCTTCTTGAAACAGAATTGTTGTTAAAGCAATTTTAACTTTTGCAATCCTGCATTGTGCAAAAATGCAATACCGACATCTATCGGAGGGAGAGGGAAGTAAAATGAAAGGAGTTGAAAATGAAATAAGTACGACACTTTTCCGTACATCGGCGTGCAACTTTCCTCTACAATATTTCTTACTGTTACCGTCAGCGATAACGCCGATATCTGAGAATATCTCCGGTTAGTCACCACCTCTTGGTAAGCTTGCAGTCGTGAATTGTGTTCCGGGTGTGTCTTCAGAGCGGGATATCGATCGCATGATATCGTTAAGGGTAGTAGAGAGAACTGTGGCTTAGCTAGAGAGAGAAAGAGAGAGAGAGAGAGAGAGAGAGAGAGAGAGAGAGAGAGAGAGAGAGAGAGGGAGAGAATG